CACACACACACACACACACACACACACACAAGTCCTTCTAGCTCAGGGCGGCTCCTCCAGGGAAGGCGGTGAGCAGAGGGTAACAGGGTCACTGACCAGAGGCTGATTGCGCTGGGGCCATGCTAAGCTGGTGGGCAGGGTTCAAGACCAGAACCTCGGCTGAGGGGGTGGCAACGGAAGTGCCCCGATCAGTCTCTGCAGGAGGGGCGGGGCCTGCCCCAGGCCCTGGAGCCTCTCCCAGTAGTTTCCTCGGGCGTCTGTTGATGAGCAAGCTTCACAGGGACCAGGCCATGCAGGAGCAGGGCAGGTGTGTGAGATCCGGGAGAAACAGAGCTCAAACCCAAACCAAACCGCAAGCCTCAAACTCAATGCCATGGAGAGCCGGTGCCGACTCACTGCAGCCTGACAGGACAGGCCCGACTGCCCAGCGAGTTTCTGAGACTTCACGGGAGCAGAGAACTCCCGTCTTCCTCCCTCAGAGCAGCTGGTGGTTTTGAACTGGTGACTTTGCAGTCAGCAGCCCAAAGCATAACCACTGCCCCACCAGGGCCCTCCTGTAAAATGTCGCCTAGCAGGTAGGCCAAGTCACCAGACAGAACTTCCGTAAAGTGACAGACTTCAGCAACCGAAGTTAAAACCCTAGCAGACACAGTCAGCAGCAGGCGAAGGGACGTGGCTGAGAGAGTTAGGGTTTGGAGCCCAAACCCCAGAGAGTGCAGCCCAGAGAGACACAGTGAGCAGAGTACAGGAGAGAGGTGACAGAGCAGGAGGTGGGGGGTGGCCGAGAAAGTCAGCAGGTGGTTCCACGGAAGCTCCAGGAGAGGAGAGGGAGAATGTGGCCGAGAAACGCTTTACGAAAACAACAGTGTGTGATTTCTCCAGAAAGGAAGAAGCAGGCTAGTCCACAGATACACAGCTCCCTGTGGACCCTAAGAGGACTGGCACCCCCACCCGGGCACACTGCAGAACCCAAAGTCAGGGAGGAGACAGCAGCAGCAGCCACAGAAGAAGGGGGCCGTCCGTCCGTCCGTCCCTCAGGGGATGGGCCAGAGCACAGTGGGTCCCCAGCACTAGCCACAGAGGCCAGGTTGGTGCTTGGCCGTGGCACCCACCCACCCGCCTGCCCAGCGCCTGCCCCGCACAGGGACCTTTGGAGACTGGGTCAAAACAAGGGCATTTTCAGAGGAACACTGAGTGAGCTTGTCACCAGTGGGCCCCTGCATGGATCTGGTTTAACCCAAAACCAAAACCACAGCCATCAAACCGATTCCATCCCACAGGGGCCACAGGGGCCACTCAGGGTTTCTGAGACGTCGTCTTTTTCCTGAGCAGCGGTTGTGGGTTGGGGCCACTGACCTTGTGGTTGAGAGCCAGCACTTCGTCTTTAGGCAGAGGCCACATCCGAGACACAAGAAAGAGGGAAGGCAGGACACAGGGGCGCGGCCACGGGATTATCTAGGGTACCGGGAACAGGCCATGGGATTGTCTAGGGTTCTGTGAGTACGGTACTAGGAATAGCCACAAAGTTGTCTAGGGTACTGGGAATAGGGTACCGGGAGCAGCCAGGGTACCAGGAGCAGCCACGGAATTGTCCAGAAGAGGAAGTCGTGGACTCACGCTAGGGGCACTGACTTAGATGCAGGGGCAGCAAGGATGGACGGGGCCCCAAGAACCAGTTGCCTTTGAGCCAATTCTGACCATAAGCAACCCTGACAGGACACAGCAGGACTGCCCCGTCCGGTCCCCAAGGCTGCCCATCTTTACAGAATCAGACTGCCTCATCCTGCTCCGCTGGGGCCCGGGTGGGGGTGGGGTGGGGGAGTTCACACTGCTGACTGAGCGCCGCGACCCAGGGCTACGTTTTCCGGCGGGAAGGAGAAGCCACGCAGATGCCAGTGAGCCCACACGTCTTTATTAGAGGGTGCCGACAACGGCAGGACTGGCTGAGACAGGGCATGCGTCACAGACAATGTGGGAGCAAGCGGAGGGGGTGGGGTGGGGGGAGCGGGGCAGGAGCCTCGTCACGTCTGAGGTAGAGTGAGGTGGCGCGGGGAGCAGGACGGTGGCAGGAGGGAGGAGCACCAGCCGCAGCGGACACCTTCCCGGCCCCACGGGGAACTGGGCACCCCGGAAGCGCTCATGGAGTGGATGGGGGGCATGTCGGCCACTGTGAAAAATAGACTCTAAAAACACCTCCCTGCCCCCTCCCTCTGACTCCCCTCTGTGGACAAAGCCTCATGGACCCATGGCCACCAGCTGGCTGGGCATTGCCCCTGCTTGGAGCTTGGTCTCTGGGGGGCCCCGCTGACCCGGCCCGGAAACTAAGGAGCTTGGAGCTGGAAAGGCCAAGTGCACTAAGAAAGACCCCTTTTCTCTATAAAAATAGTTTCGCTTTAAAAAAGTGGGTGCTCATCTCGGACGGGGTGGGGACGGGGGTTTGAAAAATATTGTGAGTAGACACTCTGTCCAATGGGGACAGTGGGGGAGCCGGTTAGGAGGGCCGGGGGGCTGGGCTGAGGACCCTCCTCCAAGGGGTCTTACTGGGCTGGGTGGGGAGGAGGGTGGGTAAAGGGGAAGCCCACCTCTTGGGGCTCCTTGTTCAGGGCTTGGGTGTCTGAGTGTCTCGCGGAGGTGAGGCTGCCTCTCGTCTTGGGTACCCTGGTGGGCAGGGCTGGGGCGGGCAGGGCCGTGGCCGTGGTCTGGGGCACACGGGAGGCTACCTCCCTGCCTGGTAGGTACCAGGTGGGCTGGCCCTGGTGGTGGTTTTTGGGCACACACATGGGGCTGCCTCCCCTAAGGGATCCAGGTGGGCTGGCCTGTGGCCACCGTGTCTGGGACACACGAGGCTGCCTCCCCTGCCCGGTCGCTCCCGGTGGGCCGGCCTGTGGCCAGGGCGGTGGCGGCAGGCGGTCAGTTGAGCAGGGTTCCGTAGAGCTGGGCCTTGGTGAGGCTGTCCTTGCGGCTCAGCCCGGCGCTGCCAGTCCTGGGGAAGGCCTGCTGAGGGCTGAGCAGGGCGGCCGGGCGCACCTCGGGCGAGGCCTCCATGGAGCTGGGCGCCAGGGAGTCCCGGGAGCTATGGAGGCTGTGCTCGCTGCCGTAGCCCTGGCAGCGCTCCGGCTGGGGCTCGGGGCTGCCGCCCGCCCCGCACAGCTGCACCCCGTCTCCCTCGCTGGGCGCGTAGCTGGGCAGCGGGTCGGCCGAGCGGCCAGGGCTCAGGCTGCGGTCGCCACCGGCCCGTAGGAAGCAGGGCTCGGCAAGGTGGCCCTGGGAGAGGTCGTCCGCCTCTGAGAAGCTGTCCGCCTTGTAGCTGGCGTACAGCGGGCTGGCGCGGCCATCGGCCTTCTTGCCCGGGCTGCTGCCGCTGCTGCCATAGAAGCGTTCAGAGAAGCTGCAGGGCGAGACGCGGCCGGCGGTGCTGGTTGGGTAGGAGTAGGGCCCCATGTCCTCCACGCTCAGGGGGCGCCACTGGCCCCGCATGTCCTCCCTGGACAGCCGGGCCGACCCCGGCTTGGCCTGAAGGCTCCACAGGTTGGGGGGCATCAGGGCCTGCTGGGGGCTCGGGGAGCTCGGGAAGCGGAAGGGCTCCGCGGGGTAGGGAGACACGGTCCGCGAGAAGGCCGGGGCCACTTCGGCCTCGAGCGGAGCGGCCACCGCGGCCGTGGCCTTGGCGAAGCGCGGGCTGCCCTCGTAGGCGGCGGTGGTGGGTGGCTTGCGGTCGAAGAGCTCGTCACGGCTGTTCAGGTAGATGGCCTGCTGGGAGGCGGTGAGCGTGCTGGCCTGGGCCTGCTCCCGCTCCTCCGACGTGGCGCTGAAGCTGGAATAGGAGCTGGACGTGGGCAGCGAGCCCGCGTAGCCCGGGAAGGCGTCGTGCCGGAAGCCGGCAGGGAAGGCCGAGGCCTCCTCCTCCTCCTCCTCGGCTGCGCTGTCGGTGGAGTTCTGGGCCCGCAGGAAGCCCACGTCGGTCACGGGCGGGTCCACGCTGGGCCGCCGATCGTGCCGCCGGTCCTCGGGGCAGTAGAGGGCCGTGTCGCTGCAGTAGATGTCCCCCTTGTATGGGGCCCGCAGGCCGGGCTTCTCCAGCCCGTCGCGGAAGGCCAGCTCGCGAGCCGAGGCGTCGGACAGGCGAGAGGACAGGCTGGTGGGGTCAGGCTTCTCCAGCACCTTGGCGATGACGCAGGTGGGCACGCTGTCGGCATAGGCCGGGTGGCAGAGGGACGAGGGCAGGCTACAGCCGTGCCTCTCCATGTGCAGGCTCACACGCTCCTGGAAGCCGGAGGGCAGCTGCGGCGGCACGTGGGGGGGGTGGGGGTGGACGGGCGGGGCGGGCGGTCAGCACGGGCCAGAGCCCCAGGCCGCCCGCCACAACGCACAGACAGACAGATAGACAGGCCCATGACAGACGAGCAGGGACCACCCCAGGGCAGGAGCTGGAGCCAGGGCTCTGTGCTTCAGAAGCGGCTGTGTCCGAGGCTCCTGGTCACCTCTGATCATGCCTGCTGGGCCCCCCTGACCCAGCAGTGCCGAGAGGTGCCTAGGCCAACTCCCCCCCCCAATTCCTGTCCAGCAGGGGCCAACTAGCCATCCTAGCCCCCCGCCCCTGCCCCTGGTTGTTCCCTGGGTACCCCCACACAAGACACCATCAGAAACAGATGCAACAAAGATTGAGGGTGCGGAGGCCGGGCGCCCCGCCTGCCTTGGGGGGCACACACTACTGTTTGATCTATTTTGTGAGTGGCTGGGGTGGGGGCAGGCCCAGGGCAGAGGGGGAGGCTGTGCAGGGGTCCTGGATCTGCCACCTGATAGCCGAGGGTCCTGGCTGGCCACCTTGTATGCGAGACGGGCACTATCTGTACCTGTGGCCACACGCCAGCCATGCCCACTCGCCAGAGCTCAGGGTGGGCCCTGGGGGCTCGACTCAGAGGTGGGGAGGTGGTGGGCTCAGCGGCCTTCCCGGTGGGGCGGGGTGGGTGGCGCAGGCCAGGCCTGGCCACAGGTGGGTCACGTTACCTCAGATACCTTATGGACCCTGCCGAAGGTCTGGCTGCACTGCAGCAGCTGGGCCGCTAGATTGCAGTCCTTCCTATAGAGCTCCTAAAAGAGAGAGAGGCCGTTGGGCGTGCAGGCTCACGCCGCCCTGCTGCCCCGGCTCCGGGTTGGGGCTCTCCCCTGCTCGCTCCACCTGCAGGAAGCTCTTTCACATGGAGACCTGGGACCCTCCGACAGGGCTGTGCCGTGACAGGAGAGGTGCGGACCAGGCCTGCCTCTCGGAGCCCCACCCAGGAGGACTCCCTGGAATGTGGGACAAGAAGGGGGCTTGCAGCCCTGCTGTCCCCCAGGCACAGAGGGTGGCTGCAGGGCTGGGGGTGTGGGGGGAGATGGGCTGGGGTGGTGAGGGGCTCGGGCTCAGCCTGCTGAGCTGAAAACAGATGCAAACAGTAGGAATTAGGGCGGTGCGGGGTTGGGAATCTCTGTTGCATGTGCCTATGGAGGGGCCTTCTGTTCCACCCTCTGCCAGACCCGGACCGTGACAGCCAGTCTGGGTGCCGGACCACCCGGAGGTGCCTGCACACAGCCATCCTGGCTGAGTGCTGTGCCCATGTCTGGCCCAGGTGAGGTAGGGTGAGGCACGGGACCCCCACAGCCTCACTTTGGTCCCCTCTGCACTGTGACCAGGCTGGGGGAGCTCCTGGGTGGGACCCCTACCCTCCCTACGTGCCGCTGGGCCTCCTCGAAACGGTACAGCCAATGAGAGCTGGGAATCACCAAGCCCAAGAGAGGCCACTGCCCGGCCACTTCCGGTGGGCCGCAGAACCTCCACAGGCCACACAGCCTTTGGGGCCAGAGGGTAAGCTTGGGCAATGTCTACCATGTCCACAGACCCTGGCCAGGCAGCAAGCCTGAGGCTGCTGGTTCAGGACAGCCAGGCTGTCCACCTGGAACACAGGAGCTGGCTCCAGGGAGGAAGAGCAGGTGGGCAGGGGGCAGTAGGGGCCTGGTTAATGAGGACTAGCCTCTGGAGTCCGATGGCCCCCAGTTCAAGGCCTGCCTCTGCCTCTGAGTGCCCACCCGAGGGGCTTCTGTCCTGGCTGCCTCCCAGGCCTCTGCCTGTGGAGGACTACACTCCCAGGGTGCCCGAATCTGGGGCCATCCTTCCATTCAATCCAGGCCTCCATGTCACCAGCGCCAAGGCCACCTTTCTTCCTAGGCGCTCAGCCTCCTGTGAGCAGGTCCTGCCTGGTGTCCCCTCTTCCCCACTGGCCATTCCTGAGTGAACAAAGGGGCTGTCCTTGGCGTCCTTCCTACCTCTCATCTGTCTCTATCCTCTGCCTGGCCGACTCAGCTGCGGCTGAGTACCCGCACTTATCCGTGAACTCCACACCCTAACCGCTTCAGGACACCCCTGGTCCACAGAGCCCTCCCACAGCCAGCTCCCCACCGACACCCCGTTACCCGAGAAATGGGGCGCTCCTTGTGCCCGGGCTCTGAACCCAGAGGCGCGCCTGGCGTTCACTCACGTTGTCCTCGGACAGCTTGTCGATGGTCACCTTGGCCTCCAGCAGGTGGCTGTTGAGGGCCACAATCTCGTGGCTCAGGGCACGCTTCTCCTCTTCATAGTGCTGGCCCTGGGGGAGGGCGGGGCAGGGAGCAGTCAGCAGTCCTTCATGCCTGGGGGTGGTGGTGGTGGTGGTGGGGAGCGTGGGGCCCCAAGTGCCTACCTGTGGTAGGCACTTGGAAGTCTAACCCTGTCACCCCGGTGGGCATCCCCGAAGTTGGTGGCCAAGATAGGCAGCCCATTTTGGGTTCAGGGGTTCATTCAGAGGCCAGGCAACCAGCCTTCATTTCCTGGTTCTACCACTGGCAAGCTGGGGGACTGAGTAAGTCACTTCCGCCCAGAGCCTCAGTTTCCCCATCCGTAAAATGAGGACTATGACGTGCCCCCTCATAGAGGTTTGTGTGGTTTTGGGGGTGGCTGTGCTTCACGAGCAGGGCTGCCAGTGTTGCTTCGCCCAAGCACAGGACAGGGCAGGGCCCTCCTCCTCCTGGAAACCGCCACCCTCCCCTGTGGGCAGTGGACACCTGGCCCTGCCACTGGCCTAGCGGCTTCTTTTCTGCCTTTCCTTGTATCTTAATAAGCCTCGGGCCGCAGCGCCGAGGCTAATGCTTGGCCCCACAGCAGCTGGTTGTCAGGCGTTTCTTCTGTGTTGCTGGTGGGCGGGCTTGGTGCCAACTTTTAGGCTGAGTTCAAGGACCACCACGACCACTTGTCTGTCTGTCTGTCACCCTGTGGTGGCTGTGAAGCTGGAAGCTATGTCACGGCATTTCAAATACCAGAAGGTCACACAAGCTGAACTTCCTGACTTATCAACAGACTGTCAAGAAGGACCACGCTGTGCCCTTCTGAGGGGCGAGCCACTGAAACCCGACGAACGGTCTGGGGGCATGGTCAGCTCTCCTCCCGGGAGATGAGGGCTTCCGGTTGGAAGGCACTGAAAACACAGTGAGGGGAGAGTGGCCTCCTCCAGGAGCCATCGAGGCGGGACCGTCTTTGGCTGATGGCACCACTCAAACGAGAAGAACCGGCTGCAAGCGCCTCTTAAGGACTAGAACATGGAATCTTACACGTCTGAATCATGGGAAACCGTCAGTCGTCAAGAATGAGGTGGAGCGCCCACTGGTCAGGATCGTGGGCGTTTGCAAGCGGAAAGAGACTCTGGCTCGTCCCTTGGAATCAGACAATCATATGGTCTGTTTTGCCGGCAGTGACAAATTCCGGAGGAACGGCACCAGGGTCGCCGTCAAAAGGAGCATTTCAAGATGCATCTCGAGGGACAAGGTTGTCTGTCACAGGGCAGGGCCTCCACACAGACAAGGAGACTAGCGAGGCCACTACTCTTCCAACTGAGCACCAACCACTGAAGCGAGTGATGAAGACATTGAAGAATTCTACCGCTTCTTCAGTCTGAAGTGGGGCCTATATGCAGTCAAGGTGTAATGATCATTATTAGCGATTGGAATTCAAAAGTTGGGAAATCGAGAGAGGAGTGGTAGTGGGTCTTGGTGATAGAAATGAAAATGGGCACTGAATGATAGAATTCTGTAAAAGAAACCACTTCTTCATTGCAATTATCTTTTTGTGTGTGTGTACCATGAGCAGTGATCTCACTGTCCACACTTACACCTCCCTAGATGGAAGATGCAGGAATCCAATTGATCACACGGTGGGAAGAGGCGAGGAAGCTCGGTATCAGCAGCCGGAATGGAGCCGGAGGCAGACTTCGGACCAGGCCATCCGTCGCTCCTCTGTAAGTTTAGGGGGCAGGTGGGGAAAATGAGAGCGAAAGCCACCACACATCCTTGAGCACATCCCACCTGAATTTAGAGACAATCTCAGGAGCAGCTTTGACTCACTGAACGCTAATGACAATAGCGTTGACGAGCAGTCGGGGAGCACCCCGAACACCACAAGCGAAGGAAGCAAAAAGCCATGAAAACAAGAAAGGAAGAACCGACCAAAGTGGATGTCAGAAGACCTGGGAGTTGCTATTGATCTTCGAGCAGCAAATGCAGATGGAAGAAATACAGTATAAGAGCGAGCAGAAAAGACATGAAATATTATAATGAAATGCGCCAAGAGCCAAAAAGGAAGGACATGCTCAGCATCTCTTAAACGGAAAGATCTGAAAAGAAAATCAAGCTTTGAGTTGCAATATCCAAGGATTCCATGGGCAAGATACTGAATGATGCAGGAGGCATTAAAAGGTGGTGAAAGGAATGCACAGCGCCACTGTACCAACACGAATTGGTAGTCGTTCAACCATTTCAAGAGGTATATGATCCAAGACCAATGGTACTGAAGGAAGAAGTCCAAGCCGCCCTGTAGGCATGATCAAACCACAAGGTTCCAGGAATGGATGGAGCACCAATTGAAATGTTTCAACGAGCCGATGAAGCACTGGAAGCGCTCACTCACCTGTACCAAGAAATCTGGAAGACAGCTAGCTACCAGCACAACTGACCGGAAGAGGTCCATATTTGTACCCATCCAAAGAAAGGTGACTCAGCAGGATGCTCTTATTAGCCACCCACATTCTTAATATCACATGCAAATAAAATTTTGCTGAAGACATAACCCAACAGCGTGATAGCAACAACATTGGCGGGAGCTGCCCGTAATTCAGGCCAGCTTCAGAAGAGGACATGGAACAAGGACGGATCATTGCTGACTGCAGCCTGACCTTGGCTGAGAGCAGAGAGAGAATACCAGAAAGATGTTACCTGTGTGTTCTTGACTATGGAAAGGTATTCGACTGTGTGGACCATAACCAACTATGGGTGGAGCTGAGAACAATGGGAATTCCAGAACACTTCATTGTGCTCGTTGTAGATGGCCCAAGGGCAGACATCCTAACAAAACAAAAGAACACTGCATGGCTTGAAATCAGGAACACTGTGCATCAGGGTTGTACCCTCACCGGTGATCTTGTGCAGTCTGTATGCTGAACCAATCCTCAGAGGAGCTGGATTATAGGAAGAAGAATGGGACATTAGGGCGGGAGGAAGGCTTATTAACAACCTGCAATGTGCGCCTGACCCCCCTGGCTGGCGGAAAGTGAGGAGGACTGGAAGCACCAGCTGATGGAGATCAAGGATTGCCGCCGTCAGTACGGATTGGAGCTCAGTGGAAAGAAAACACAAATCCTTCCAGCTAGACCAACAGATACGTATTAAACAGAGAGGAGACTGAAGTTGGCAAGGTTTCGTCTCGCCAGGACCCACGAGCAATGCTCATGGAAGCAGCAGTCAAGAAATCAAATGGCCCACTGCATGTGGCGGGTCAGCTGCACAAGACCTCTTTAAAGTGTTAAAAGCAAGGATACCACCTTGAAGACTAAGGTGAGCCTCACCCGAGCCCTGGCATTTTCCAAACGCCTCAGATGCATATGAAGGTTGGGCATTGCAGAAGGAAGACTGGAGGAGAAGGGGTGCATTAGAATTGTGATGCCCATCTCCCATTCCATTTCTCCACCCCTATACCCTAGTACTGTTTGCAGAGAGTCTCAGAGCCACCCAACCTCCACCCCATGATGCCAGCATGATAGTTGGGTGTGCCATGAGAGGCACAGCTGAGGCTGATACCCCATGGCTCCTCTACCCCCTAGAAACCCCAGCTGGTGGGCTCTCTCCTGCAGCCCCTCTTACTCGGATGCCCGATTGGGGTCACACCCCGGGCCCACCTCCCATTTGCTGGAGGTGGGAATACATGACCTGAACAGCAGGGAATGGTGCCAGGCTCGGGGCCATGCTGGATGGGGCCTCACCATCCGGTACAGCTTGTCTTCCAGCTCCTGGTTGATCCTCTGCAGGGCCAGGTAGTTGCTCTGGATTCTGGAAAAGAAGGGTGGTTCATCTTGGGCCTGACCTCCAGAGGGGCCTGACCTCCAGAGGGGCCTGACCTCCAGAGGGGCCTGACCTCCAGAGGGGC